GATTGGCAGTTTCTTTAGAAGCATCGGATAAAAGAGAGCACAAATGGCGTGGTGATGGGCGGAGTAAGCCAAAAACAGTAGTTTTCTAATTTTGTAGGAATACTAAGTTGGATTAACTATCTTGTCAAAAATAACAACAGGAAAACTTCATCTTTTGTACTGACTGTTTTTTTAAAATTCTCAAAAAATCAATAAATTGCTGCAAGAATAAAGTTGAATAAACATCTTACCCGAATGCTTTCCCTAGACTGTATCTTCAATCCATCCATTGGTTCATGCAATAGGTCGTGCTTACAGACGGAGTCACTTGACATTACAGTAAACCTAAAATAGAGATTATTGATAGGTGTCTAGCAATTTGTACATGAAAATTTTTTAAACTCACTTATTGCTTTTTTGTCCCCAACAAAGAACCAACGCATCGGCACTGATTGTACAGAGAAATGGACAAAGGTAAGTGATGAGAGCTTCGAGCAGTGCTACCCATTTGAATCCTTGGTCGCTGAAATAAATATATTTGAATAGGACCACAATTATTCACAGGGCTAAGAAAAATAGACATGAAAGATTTCCCTTATCTCAAATGCAATGGAGAAGTCTTATTTTTCCCCCTTTCAAAAGTGTAGGAAAGTGAGGGTGCATTGGGAGCGTTTGGCGGAAGATCATGAAAAGTTGGTATACGATAAAATGCGGGGAAACAATTTTTCTTTAAAGAAAGGACTTCTTCTTTTTCTTTTCTGTTTACTACTGAACTATCGAACTGAGTAATCGCTTCAAAACCCATGATACTTTTTTCCAAAAGATTACCCTCATATTTTCGGATTTCCAAATTACTGTAATTGCGGAAATGTCATGAGGCAAAATGTACACCATTAGTTTTATGGGGGGCAGCGAAAATAGCTTAATGCTATGACGTGCCACTAGGAGAGCTTAGTGTGTAATTGCACCAGATTACAGTAATCAATAGTTACGCGGGAATTTTGCGAATCTAACACATTATGCTACTTTCCAAAGGCACATCCAGGCAAAACCTATGCCCCCCGATTAGTACATATCTAATCAAGAAGGCCCTAGCAGTAGGACAGGAGTTGCGTTGGTCCGGTCCCCTAATGTAATTTCTTGATGAAAAACTGAGCATAAAACCCACGAAAGTGCTGTCAAGCCACGCCCCCAGTTGCAAGTTCCGCCCGTCCGGACATGAAAGTTGTCTGTGCTGCCCTTAGGATAGATTTCAGAGGATGGGGTTTTCTGGGGGTTTTGCACACAGGGCCACGGGAAGGTCCCATAATGACAAAAACATGGGAGACGAAGACAGGTTTGCTTTACGCAGGTACAAAACGTTTTTTTCTTTTTGATAACGATATGCGCAAATCGCGACTGCAATTTCCGCAAATTTCAAAATTGCTATGTTTTTACAATTATTTGCACGCTACATCTGCCGCAACAATCACGTACTCCGGATACTTTTACGTACCTCATTATCCTAGTGTCTCGTTCGCACGTCACGGCAATAAGCCCATCTCCTGTAGAAACATATCGTTCTGTGACGAGCAACAATGGCCAACTCTAAAAGATCTCATGTTATGCGCTTTACTCAAGGGTTTTGCAGAGTCAAAACGGA